GCCGTTTACATCTGCAGATGGACGACGGTACGGCAGCTGCTGCGACGGCTTCGTCTGCACACGCGGGCGCTTTAAATGTAGAAAACATGGACGAGGATGACGTGGTTGTCCATGAATACTTGATGCGCCAAGAAGCGCTACTGCTCGAGCGCAAGCAGCAACGCGAGATAGCGTCGTTTGACGCTGCTGTGGCTCACCTCCGTCGCGAGAAACTCGCTCTCGAGGTCGGCTTCAAGCAAGCGGAACTTCGGCTGTTCACTCTCCTTAGCGAGTTGTCGCTGCTTGAGTCGTTCGAGAGCAAGGAAAACCTGTTGAGCAGTAAACTCGAGAAGAGTAAAGGGGAAAAGGCGCAGATTGTGGCGGACCTGCGCGATGTCCAAGACCTGCTGACGATCAAGAAACGCGATCTGGATGAATGGGCGCGACAGGAGAAGGCTGTGCAAGCAGAGTTCCTGACGCTTGTGAACGGCGGCACGGGGTCAAGTGCGACACCTCACCCGAGCTTTGCGGCGCTGCAGAAGCTGTTTAAGCGCAAGATCAAGCGAGCTAAGAAGAAACCCGCTTCGGGTGGCAAGGAAGAAGGGAAAGAGCCTGACAGTGCGAGAGACGGCGAGGAGCAAGAAGACGACGATGAAGAAGAAGAGGACGAAGACGAAGACTATGACGAAGATGACGACGACGATGACAAAGAAGAAGAGGATACTTGTCCGTCTGGATGCGACTTGACTCTGTACGAGAAGGTGTTGGCCCTGCGTGAGAAGCGTGTCGATGTAGACGACGCCATGGGGGAGCTGAACAAGTCGATCGAAGAGCTTCGGAAGGCCGGAGAGCGTCAGACAGCCAAGCAGCGTGCGATCGACAAGGAGCTGGCTGCGACGGAGCAGGATACGCAGCAGTTCCAGAGTGAAAAGCAGTCGCGCTTCAACCAGCTGGACGTCGTAGTGCCGCTCAGTACGCGGCAACTATGTTGTCTTGAAGCTCCGTCTCCGACTCGGCAAAACTGGACGCTACCTGCTCAAGCTGCTGGCTGCCTCGTGTTCACCACTCGCGCCTTCTCTGCGTTGTCCGAGCGTATCGAGTCGCTGCAAGCAGAGAACAAGAAGCTGCGTCAACAGTTCCGAGACCTCCACAAGCAGCAGAACGTGCTTGCTAAGGAGAAGCGTCAACAACAAGAAGCCATTGCAAGAGCTCAGGACCGCAGCGAGCAGCTCATGCGACTGAAATTCGGACAGCTAGTGGACCTGGAGGTGCTGGATCGCGCTTGTGACGCGTCTTCGGTGGACGATCTGCAGACTCGCGTCAAGTTACGCGAGGTCGAAGGTGAGCGAGCGCTGCGTCGTGCCAAGCAGACGCACCCGCAGCTGCAACACGCTATTCTGCAGGCGACCGAGCAGAACACGGCCTTGTTAGCTCAGATCGCTGCACTCACGGAGCGTCAGGCTGAACTGGAACGCGAACTCAATCGCCATCAGGGTGATGGCAGTAGCAGTTGGGACAGTGGCGGTGTACTCAGTCTTGACGACGACGAGGCGTTGGCTGAGCGCGAGATGAAGGAGCGCAACAAGCTCGTGCGGCTGGTGAAGCTGCAGACCAGAGAAGTTGAAGCGCTCAAGCAGGAGATTGGACTGCTGCGCGGCAAAGATGGAAAAGTGTATGCGCCTCGAGGGTAGAGCTTGGCGACGAGTAGGATCCAGAGCGGTTAATACAGAGTCTTGCTCGATAGAGTGGGAGTGTGCTGATGGAGGCTAATAGTTATCTTGAGTGCAGCGCTTGAGGTGGCGAGGTCGCTTGTGTGGTGGAAATCAAAACCGAAAGTGAAACGTTCGAGCAGGAAGACAAGACGCTGTCGAAGTCAAAGGTTTGTGGTAAAGAGATCGAGTAGAGAGGTGCTTGTGCGCTGGAGCTCAAAACCGACAACGACCTTCGGTTTTGAGCTGCAACGCACATGCACCTCTCCACTCGCTGTAGCCACTGCGATCACTTCTGAACTGATAGACTTCAGAGTGATAAGAACGCACGTAAACGTCAGCATATGCAATAGATTCGAGTCTCTTGTCTTGAAACTGGAGGTTGCAGATCTCATTGCTATCACACCTGTGTTTGTAGTGGAGTGGCGCTACATTACAAGTACCGTACAATGCTGATCTTGCGATGGGCAGCATTATACTGTGAAAATTTGCTCCGATACTAAGGTGCACTTGAATCTCGACATGAATATGAATGAATCTAATGCTGACCAGGTGCTAGTAACACCGGCACCCGCAGATTCATGCAACAACATGAGAGGTGTTAGCACCAAAACGCTGAAAAACTATAAACTTTTGTTGAACTTTTTGTTGTCACTGGGATGAGACGATCAATGTACTGCAAAGTATGATTGAAAAGCAATTTGTAGAGGAGTGACCTGTGTTTACCAAGTGACCAAGTGCACTAAATTCAGTGTTGCAGTGATTTTAAGACTTCCAAACTTCACACACTCTATGGTAAGGAAGCAAATACTGCATCACACCATCAGCGCTCCACAAATCGCAGTCTTGTTCGGCTTTCAAGTTCGAAGAAGCAAAACGTGACGTGGAAAGTCGACTCGAATTGCTATTCAGCTGCAAGAAAACGTTCTCTGAATCAGCGTAGAGCTTGTACAAACCACTTTACATTCTGTTGAGTAAAAAGGTACCACAATGTCAGCTCAAATAAGGCAAAAACACGAAGAAATACAACCTGATCTTTGGTAGAACCACTCAATCCGACCCAAAGCACAGCGCGTTTAAAACTCCTCGAGCCCCACGGCTGTCTCGCAATCGACAGTGTAGCAGTAATCGGAGCATCACGCCACACTTGAATACCATGTGAGTGCCCCGTCGTACTCCATAGCAACGATCCGTCGGCTTCATCTTTGCCATTCAACGCATTGAATCGCCTCCAGTTTACCGATCCTGCAAACCTGTGCCGACAAGAAACCTGCTGTCCCGCATTAGCCACAACGTTAGACGCCACTCCTGTCCCGACAGCCACAAGAGCCACAAAGAGCCACCTAGCGCAGAACAAATACCCACCTTCTGGTTCCTCAAGTTGGTGTAAGCGCAGACGACGTGTATACCTATCTCTCGCATTCGGAGCCCCGCGTGAGCATCCTGCAAACCCGTGTCGACAAGAAATCTGCTGCTCCGCATTATCCACAACATGATACCCCACTCCTGTCACGACAGCCACAAGAGCCACAAAGAGCCAAATAGCGCAGAACGAATACCTACCCTCTGGTGCCTCAAGACGGCGTAAACGCAGACGAGTGTATACTTATCTCTCGCATTCGGAGCCCCGCGTGAACAAGCTGACATATGCGCAACACCGGGTTTTTTTCGCAGCTCGAAAAACACCCAGCTCATTGAACCCATGCGCTTCAACAACAGCAGCCAGTACCCTCGATCGACCTCCAAACTGTGCTCTGGGGTCACCACTGGCCGAAGCTGCGGGATCCAGCTTGCCCGGCGTGTAGCTGCACATACTTCCCACCCCTTCGCCATTTTCCAAATGCTAAATCTCCGAAGGAGTAAAAATATGCACCAAATTAGACCTCAAAACCGCCGAACAGATCTTTTCGTACCATATCTCCCACCACTAAGCCCCAGATCCAGTGCAAACGTAGCCAGCGACCCCTTCTCTCCATGCACTTAGCAATGCGTTGAGCCGGCGTAGACATTGCGCGGACCTCCACATCGTACGTGGAGGCCGTGCCCGCAGTGTTAACGGCCATTTTCAGTCTCGCAACGAGTCAACAATCGTTGATGTTATGGTCGACATGGTCGATCCGGTCGACCATCCATGCAAAGTCATACTCTACAGTAAAAGCATCACACCACCTTTCAACTACGCACATCTCCAGCGCACCATCACCACGTTCACATGTGATGGAGTGCATGTGGATACCACAATCGGGTCATCTTCACTATGGACAATAATGACGATTATGTTCCAGCTGGCCTCGCAACACCCTCTACGGTGATTATCCACGGTGGTGCCGGCTTGACGGAGCCGCTATCCGCTGGTTCAATGGTCGAGGCCATCGTTCATGGTCATGCAGCGGGCCAGTTGTAGACATTGTAGGCATTAACGCTCCTCGGCCTGTGCAACATGGCACGGTTGCACTGTAGAAAATGACGTCAAAGTGGCCGTAGCGCGCCCAGTAGGCCGGTTCGGGTGGTGAATGGTATGTGGTGGGGTACTTCGCTACTCGGCACGAGCTAGTAGCGTAGCGTTTTGCCTGATTTCCGTCTCTGGCCGCGAAAAATGCCGCCAATCCAGCGGTGGAGACGTTGTTGCATGGCAGGAAAAGTATCCTTCAAGGCCATGGTACCGTATTCTCTTTGGCAGTGCAGATAGACGGCGTTAGTGTGCTTTTCACTTGCATTTGTGTGTATTTCATCGCATAGGGCGTGAAGGTGCTCACCTCACGTCGCCGCGTTACGGACAGGACTCGCGTCGAGTCTCTCCACCGTTAGTTCGTGCTCCGTTTCACGATGGTCCGTAGGTAGCTCCTGTTCAGTCACGGCAAACCCAAATCGACTGTAAGTAGCAAGTTGAGAGCGTACTGTACGTGAAATCGGCAGTGTGTCACTGGGCATAGCAGGTCGAAAGTGGTGGGCATGTGTTCTTTTTTCCCTCACCTGTCTACAAACGGTAGCGCCGATTCGCAGACGTGAAGTGAGGAGGGCGGCGACTTTGACGTCGTTAGTGGTACTGTAGAAGCCTAGACAGTGTCAAGGAACTTGCACTCTAGACGGTCGTAAGGCGAACTGACAGCCCACGAGAGTCGGTGGTATGGCTCTTGGTTCTCTCCCACCGAGGGTCGCAGTTTTAAGAAATATGTGACGTGGTACGGGGAAATAATCTTTTGATACATCTGAATCAGATGATCTGATGTATCCTGCAGATACATGTAGCCTTACAAACTTCAAATTCAAATACGAGATCCGACAGCTTTATCTCATTTCCTAGGTGGCCACATGTCGGGCAACAACGCTGTTATTGACGCTGGATCGCAATCCTACCATCACCTATTCACTCCAAGAAAGCGTATGCAACTGAGGACGCCAAGCTGAAGAGTGAAGCCGATGCCCGAGCGAGGTCTACGCTGAGTAAACAGGACTCGTCACGTGACCCTAGTAACAGTGAAGGAACAGCAAATACCGACTTGAGCGCTCTGCCTGCTTTTCATGGAGCTAAAACCTATGCTGCTTACATCGAGAGCAAGTTATCGTCTCGTGTTGCTGCAGCTAAGGACAAGGAGGAATACCTCGGCGTTATCCGTCTTGCGAGTGATGACAAGAGTATTGAAGGCCTCCCCGTGGCAACACCTCCTTTCCGAGATGATGGCAAGGCACACATTGGAGTCGCCGCTACGGCCTTGTTACAGTTAAGTGTGGAGGATATCGCAAACTCAAAGGAAGCGTACACAATCGAGGACGCCAAGCTGAAGAGTGAAGCCGATGCCCGAGTGAGGTCTACGCTGAGTAAGCAGGACTCGACACGTGCTGTATTGAACCAGATGCGAACTGAACTTCAAGAGCTACAGGCACAAGACGCAGCGTTACCACCTCAAAGTCGCGTCGACTCGGAGGAGTGGGAGATTGATCTAGACTATGGAGATCTGTTGACTCGACAGGGCGATGAGGCGTGCGATGAAGTGCGCAATGCGCTTGCGTTTGCTGTGGAGAAAGAGGAGCTTCTACTGCTTAAGATGCGAGAGACGTACGTGGGTCCGCTGGCTGTAGAGCTGCTGACGTTGCGTGCGTTTGAAAGTGGATTAAGTGTCCAGTCCTTCCGCACCATGAAGATGCCGGCAACTTTACAGAAACGACTCGCAGAGATCCACACTGCCGACGCTGCTGCCAAGAAGCAGCCATCTACTGGAGCGAAGACTGGTCCACCTAGACGAGCGTCGGTATTAGATACCATGGAGAAGGACACTGCGCTGGACGAGGACTTTCCCTTAAAAGAAGATGAGCGACGTAAGCTCATGAGTCATAACGATCCTGCTGTCGGTGGGAATTGCGCAGCATCAAGCGGTCTGACAGCAGTACAGGAGACTAGTGGGTCAAAGTCCGTTCACGGCTTCGAGGCGCGCAAACGACTGCGCACGGAGCGAAAGGAGAGACTGGCACGCTGGCAGAGCAACAAACCAGGCGAAGATGCCGACGATCCCAGAGACGTGGTCGCGATCGCCTTTGCTCAACGCAACATGGGCGACTACAAGCTGAAAACGGCTGCAGACTACGTGGTTCCAGAACATCAGCGTGTCAACGCAGTGAAGAAATTGAGGCAGATGGCGCTCTTGGAGGAGAGTCTGTATGCCGCACGCTTGCGCTTCAACGCCAAAGTGCTGGAGCTTCGCGAGTTGAAGGTGCAGCTGATCAACGAGCTGCATCGCGACCAGGAACGACTAGTCGAACTTCGAGCCGCATTAGCGTCCAGCGGCGCAACACCATCCAGCGTGTCGTCCAAAGATCTAGTTGTGGACCTTCGCGAGTGGCCGGAGCAGCGGGAGCGCGTAAGCGACGCCGACATTGAGCTCTTCCGTTCGAGAGCAGAAGGTGATATCACACGTGCAGACTCAGACTGGCGAAGCGCACTTGGCATTGACGCGCATCGGTGGGGCTGAGAAGCGTCCGCAATCAGCAGATCGATCCATCGCTGCCGTCGCACGAGCTCTGGAAGGAACGTCGGGAAAGGAGGCTGCAAAGGGCGTCACCATTGGCCATTTACATCTGCAGATGGACGACGGTACGGCAGCTGCTGCGACGGCTTCGTCTGCACACGCGGGCGCTTTAAATGTAGAAAACATGGACGAGGATGACGTGGTTGTCCATGAATACTTGATGCGCCAAGAGCTACCGCTCGAGCGCAAGCAGCAACGCGAGATAGCGTCGTTTGACGCTGCTGTGGCTCACCTCCGTCGCGAGAAACTCGCTCTCGAGGTCGGCTTCAAGCAAGCGGAACTTCGGCTGTTCACTCTCCTTAGCGAGTTGTCGCTGCTTGAGTCGTTCGAGAGCAAGGAAAACCTGTTGAGCAGTAAACTCGAGAAGAGTAAAGGGGAAAAGGCGCAGATTGTGGCGGACCTGCGCGATGTCCAAGACCTGCTGACGATCAAGAAACGCGATCTGGATGAATGGGCGCGACAGGAGAAGGCTGTGCAAGCAGAGTTCCTGACGCTTGTGAACGGCGGCACGGGGGTCAAGTGCGACACCTCACCCGAGCTTTGCGGCGCTGCAGAAGCTGTTTAAGCGCAAGATCAAGCGAGCTAAGAAGAAACCCGCTTCAGGTGGCAAGGAAGAAGGGAAAGAGCCTGCCAGTGCGAGAGACGGCGAGGAGCAAGAAGACGACGATGAAGAAGAAGAGGACGAAGACGAAGACTATGACGAAGATGACGACGACGATGACGAAGAAGAAGAGGATACTTGTCCGTCTGGATGCGACTTGACTCTGTACGAGAAGGTGTTGGCCCTGCGTGAGAAGCGTGTCGATGTAGACGACGCCATGGGGGAGCTGAACAAGGCGATCGAAGAGCTTCGGAAGGCCGGAGAGCGTCAGACAGCCAAGCAGCGTGCGATCGACAAGGAGCTGGCTGCGACGGAGCAGGATACGCAGCAGTTCCAGAGTGAAAAGCAGTCGCGCTTCAACCAGCTGGACGTCGTAGTGCCGCTCCGTACGCGGCAACTATGTTGTCTTGAAGCTCCGTCTCCGACTCGGCAAAACTGGACGCTACCTGCTCAAGCTGCTGGCTGCCTCGTGTTCACCACTCGCGCCTTCTCTGCGTTGTCCGAGCGTATCGAGTCGCTGCAAGCAGAGAACAAGAAGCTGCGTCAACAGTTCCGAGACCTCCACAAGCAGCAGAACGTGCTTGCTAAGGAGAAGCGTCAACAGCAAGAAGCCATTGCAAGAGCTCAGGACCGCAGCGAGCAGCTCATGCGACTGAAATTCGGACAGCTAGTGGACCTGGAGGTGCTGGATCGCGCTTGTGACGCGTCTTCGGTCGACGAGCTGCAGACTCGCGTCAAGTTACGCGAGGTCGAAGGTGAGCGAGCTCTGCGTCGTGCCAAGCAGACGCACCCGCAGCTGTAACACGCTATTCTGCAGGCGACCGAGCAGAACACGGCCTTGTTAGCTCAGATCGCTGCACTCACGGAGCGTCAGGCCGAACTGGAAAGCGAACTCAATCGCCATCAGGGTGATGGCAGTAGCAGTTGGGACAGTGGCGGTGTACTCAGTCTTGACGACGACGAGGCCTTGGCTGAGCGCGAGATGAAGGAGCGCAACAAGCTCGTGCGGCTGGTGAAGCTGCAGACCAGAGAAGTTGAAGCGCTCAAGCAGGAGATTGGACTGCTGCGCGGCAAAGATGGAAAAGTGTATGCGCCTCGAGGGTAGAGCTTGGCGACGAGTAGGATCCAGAGCGATTAATACAGAGTCTTGCTCGATAGAGTGGGAATGTGCTGATGGAGGCTAATGGTTATCTTGAGTGCAGCGCTTGAGGTGGCGAGGTCGCTTGTGTGGTGGAAATCAAAACCGAAAGTGAATCGTTCGAGCAGGAAGACAAGACGCAGTCGAAGTCAAAGGTTTGTGGTGAAGAGATCGAGTAGAGAGGTGCTTGTGCGCTGGAGCTCAAAACCGACAATGACCTTCGGTTTTGAGCTGCAACGCACATGCACCTCTCCACTCGCTGTAGCCACTGCGATCACTTCTGAACTGCTAGACTTCAGAGTGATAAGAGCGCACGTAAACTTCAGCATATGCAATAGATTCGAGTCTCTTGTCTTGAAACTGGAGGTTGCAGATCTCATTGCTATCACACCTGTGTTTGTAGTGGAGTGGCGCTACATTACAAGTACCGTACAATGCTGATCTTGCGATGGGCAGCATTATACTGTGAAAATTTGCTCCGATACTAAGGTGCACTTGAATCTCGACATGAATATGAATGAATCTAATGCTGACCAGGTGCTAGTAACACCGGCACCCGCAGATTCATGCAACAACATGAGAGGTGTTAGCACCAAAACGCTGAAAAACTATAAACTTTTGTTAAACTTTTTTTGTTGTCACTGGGATGAGACGATCAATGTACTGCAAAGTATGATTAAAGCAATTTGTAGAGGGGTGCTCTGTGTTTACCAAGTGACCAAGTGCACTAAATTTAGTGTTGCAGTGATTTTAAGACTTCCAAACTTCACACACTCTATGGTAAGGAAGCAAATACTGCATCACGCCATCAGCGCTCCACAAATCGCAGTCATGAGCTATTGTTCGGCTTTCAAGTTCAGAGAAGCAAAACGTGACGTGGAAAATCGACTCGAATTGCTATTCAGCTGCAAGAAAACGTTCTCTGAATCAGCGTAGAGCTTGTACAAACCACTTTTCATTCTGTTGAGTAAAAAGGTACCACAATGTCAGCTCAAATAAGGCAAAAACACGAAGAAATACAACTTGATCTTTGGTAGAACCACTCAATCCGACCCAAAGCACAGCGCGTTTAAAACTCCTCGAGCCCCACGGCTGTCTCGCAATCGACAGTGTAGCAGTAATCGGAGCATCACGCCACACTTGAATACCATGTGAGTGCCCCGTCGTACTCCATAGCAACGATCCGTCGGCTTCATCTTTGCCATTCAACGCATTGAATCGCCTCCAGTTTACCGATCCTGCAAACCCGTACCGACAAGAAACCTGCTGTCCCGCATTAGCCACAACGTTAGACGCCACTCCTGTCCCGACAGCCACAAGAGCCACAAAGAGCCACCTAGCGCAAAGCAAATACCCACCTTCTGGTTCCTCAAGTTGGTGTAAGCGCAGACGACGTGTATACCTATCTCTCGCATTCGGAGCCCCGCGTGAGCATCCTGCAAACCCGTGTCGACAAGAAATCTGCTGTTCCGCATTATCCACAACATGATACCCCACTCCTGTCACGACAGCCACAAGAGCCACAAAGAGCCAAATAGCGCAGAGCGAATACCTACCCTCTGGTGCCTCAAGACGGCGTAAACGCAGACGAGTGTATACTTATCTCTCGCATTCGGAGCCCCGCGTGAACAAGCTGACATATGCGCAACAACGGTTTTTTTTCGCAGCTCGAAAAACACCCAGCTCATTGAACCCATGCGCTTCAACAACAGCAGCCAGTACCCTCGATCGACCTCCAAACTGTGCTCTGGGGTCACCACTGGCCGAAGCTGCGGGATCCAGCTTGCCCGGCGTGTAGCTGCACATACTTCCCACCCCTTCGCCATTTTCCAAATGCTAAATCTCCGAAGGAGTAAAAATATGCACCAAATTAGACCTCAAAACCGCCGAACAGATTCTTTTCGTACCATATCTTCCACCACTAAACCCCAGATCCAGTGCAAACGTAGCCAGCGACCCCTTCTCTCCATGCACTTAGCAATGCGTTGAGCCGGCGTAGACATTGCGCGGACCTCCACATCCTACGTGGAGGCCGTGCCCGCAGTGTTGACGGCCATTTTCAGTCTCGCAACGAGTCAACAATCGTTGATGTTATGGTCGACATGGTCGATCCGGTCGACCATCCATGCAAAGTCATACTCTACAGTAAAAGCATCACACCACCTTTCAACTACGCACATCTCCAGCGCACCAGGACCACGTTCACATGTGATGGAGTGCATGTGGATACCACAATTGGGTCATCTTCACTATGGACAATAATGGCGATTATGTTCCAGCTGGCCTCGCAACACCCTCTACGGTGATTATCCACGGTGGTGCCGGCTTGACGGAGCCGCTATCCGCTGGTTCAATGGTCGAGGTCATCGTTCATGGTCATGCAGCGGGCCAGTTGTAGACATTGTAGGCATTAACGCTCCTCGGCCTGTGCAACATGGCACGGTTGCACTGTAGAAAATGACGTCAAAGTGGCCGTAGCGCGCCCAGTAGGCCGGTTCGGGTGGTGAATGGTATGTGGTGGGGTACTTCGCTACTCGGCACGAGCTAGTAGCGTAGCGTTTTGCCTGATTTCCGTCTCTGGCCGCGAAAAATGCCGCCAATCCAGCGGTGGAGACGTTGTTGCATGGCAGGAAAAGTATCCTTCAAGGCCATGGTACCGTATTCTCTTTGGCAGTGCAGATAGACGGCGTTAGTGTGCTTTTTACTCGCATTTGTGTGTATTTCATCGTATAGGGCGTGAAGGTGCTCACCTCACGTCGCCGCGTTACGGACAGGACTCGCGTCGAGTCTCTCCACCGTTAGCTCGTGCTCCGTTTCACGATGGTCCGTAGGTAGCTCCTGTTCAGTCACGGCAAACCCAAATCGACTGTAAGTAGCAAGTTGAGAGCGTACTGTACGTGAAATCGGCAGTGTGTCACTGGGCATAGCAGGTCGAAAGTGGTGGGCATGTGTTCTTTCTTTCCCTCACCTGTCTACAAACGGTAGCGCCGATTCGCAGACGTGAAGTGAGGAGGGCGGCGACTTTGACGTCGTTAGTGGTACTGTAGAAGCCTAGACAGTGTCAAGGAACTTGCACTCTAGACGGTCGTAAGGCGAACTGACAGCCCACGAGAGTCGGTGGTATGGCTCTTGGTTCTCTCCCACCGAGGGTCGCAGTTTTAAGAAATATGTGACGTGGTACGGGGAAATAATCTTTTGATACATCTGAATCGGATGATCTGATGTATCCTGCAGATACATGTAGCCTTACAAACTTCAAATTCAAATACGAGATCCGACAGCTTTATCTCATTTCCTAGGTGGCCACATGTCGGGCAACAACGCTGTTATTGACGCTGGATCGCAATCCTACCATCACCTATTCACTCGAAGAAAGCGTATGCAACTGAGGACGCCAAGCTGAAGAGTGAAGCCGATGCCCGAGCGAGGTCTACGTTGAGTAAACAGGACTCGTCACGTGACCCTAGTAACAGTGAAAGAACAGCAAATACCGACTTGAGCGCTCTGCCTGCTTTTCATGGAGCTAAAACCTATGCTGCTTACATCGAGAGCAAGTTATCGTCTCGTGTTGCTGCAGCTAAGGACAAGGAGGAATACCTCGGCGTTACCCGTCTTGCAAGTGATGATCAGAGCATTGAAGGTCTCCCCAAGGCAACACCTCCTTCCCGAGATGATGGCAAGGCACAAACTGGAGTCGCCGCTACGGCCTTGTTACAGTTAAGTGTGGAGGATATCGCAAACTCAAAGGAAGCGTACACAATCGAGGACGCCAAGCTGAAGAGTGAAGCCGATGCCCGAGCGAGGTCTACGCTGAGTAAGCAGGACTCGACACGTGCAGTATTGAACCAGATGCGAACTGAACTTCAAGAGCTACAGGCACAAGACGCAGCGTTACCACCTCAAAGTCGCGTCGACTCGGAGGAGTGGGAGATTGATCTGGACTATGGAGATCTGTTGACTCGACAGGGCGATGAGGCGTGCGATGAAGTGCGCAAGGAGCTTGCGTTTGCAGTGGAGAAAGAGGAGCTTCTACTGCTTAAGATGCGAGAGACGTACGTGGGTCCGCTGGCTGTAGAGCTGCTGACGTTGCGTGCGTTTGAAAGTGGATTAAGTGTCCAGTCCTTCCGCATCATGAAGATGCCGGCAACTTTACAGAAACGACTCGCAGAGATCCACACTGCCGACGCTGCTGCCAAGAAGCAGCCATCTACTGGAGCGAAGACTGGTCCACCTAGACGAGCGTCGGTATTAGATATCATGGAGAAGGACACTGCGCTGGACGAGGACTTTCCCTTAAAAGAAGACGAGCGACGTAAGCTCATGAGTCATAACGATCCTGCTGTCGGCGGGAATTGCGCAGCATCAAGCGGTCCGACAGCAGTACAGGAGACTAGTGGGTCAAAGTCCGTTCACGGCTTCGAGGCGCGCAAACGACTGCGCACGGAGCGAAAGGAGAGACTGGCACGCTGGCAGAGCAACAAACCAGGCGAAGATGCCGACGATCCCAGAGACGTGGTCGCGATCGCCTTTGCTCAACGCAACATGGGCGACTACAAGCTGAAAACGGCTGCAGACTACGTGGTTCCAGAACATCAGCGTGTCAACGCAGTGAAGAAATTGAGGCAGATGGCGCTCTTGGAGGAGAGTCTGTATGCTGCACGCTT